TGCTGGCTTCCCAGGTGGCACAGTGGTAAAGAATCTGCCTGCCAGTGTAGGACCCAAGAGATGCAGGTTTGATCCCTGGGCTGGGAAGATTCCCTGGAGTAGGAAATGGCAACCCACTCCAGTATTCTTGCTGCAAAATTCCATGGACAGAGGAGCTTGGCGGGCTACAGTTCATGGGGCTGCAGAGAGTTGGACACAATTGAGGGACTATGCATGCACACACATACATGTATATATATGCACTTTCAAATATATCAGACCCATTTACACATGAGAATGTGCATATACGTAACATCTATATCTAGATTTTTTTTCCTAAGAGAAACATAGGACAGATACAGTTTCAAAAATCTCCTGCCTCCTCCTTTCTACTTCTTTTCTTGGTCCTCTTTATCCGATTCTGATACTAACAATCTCCATGCGGTCAGAGAAGGGATGAACTCAAATTAGTCAATGATTATTTTTAGTTTATCTAGGGAATGAGGTGGGAGGATGAGGAGGTAGCAATTAATGTTTTTTTTTCAAAGCAGAGCTGAGGCATTATCTGTGCTACTTCCTCCCCAGCGTCATCACGGAGGACTGAGTGTTCACCCTTATTTATGAGAGTGCTCTTTTGTACTTTCAACCAGCCCCCAACTCCTACTCATCCTTCAAAACCTAGCTCACATGGCCCATCTTGGAAGAATTCCCTGACTTGCCTGAGCAGAGGGCAGGCTCCCTCTCTGCACCCACATCACTTCGTTTATGCTGAGGCTCTTGCCCACCATCTGCTCCTGTTACTGCTGGTTCCTCTGTCTTTGTCACGAGCTATGAATTGCTTTGGGGGCTGACCAGGCTTGATTTGTCTGGATGCTCCCAGACCTATCATGGTGGCTGGTGCATCGTGAGGATTCAGGTAGTGTCTGTTCAATGCATGTGTACAATTTCATTCACCTGCTGGGAAAGACTGAAGGCAGGAGAAGGGGTCGATAGAAGATGAGATGATTGGATGGCACCACTGATTCAATGAACATGAGTTTGAGCAAGCTCCAGGAGACGGTGAAGGACAGGGAAGCCTGGTGTGCTGTAGTCCATGGAATTGCATAGAGTCGGACAGAACTGAGCGACTGAACAACAGTGACAACAATGATTCTAAAGAGAACACTCTTAGCTTAGTGTTCAACAGACAGCGAGGGTTCAGAAATGGGTATCACCACTTGCTTGCTGACTAGAAAAAACAGATCGAGATCTAAATTCCATTATTTCTACTAGAATAGCATGGACTATTGCCAGCCACTCTCTCCCATCAGAGACAAGACTTGTGTTCTAACCATTTACCAGTAATTTGTGCACCAAGATGCAGGTGCAGTGCCATCAGCATTCACTATTCCCAGGGACCTCGTAGTGGAAAGGTTGGGTACCACAAGCATCTCACTCAGTTATCTGTATGAACTTGTTTTACAGCTGAGGTATGATCATATACTATTACAAGGAGTAGACGTAAAATCAGCACTTTACAGAACAGGGGGTCAAATAAAAGTTGACCCTTTGCTTTGTAAAACTACCTCATCAAGTCCATCCGTCTTCACTGAAGGCTCTGTTACCAGCTCTGAGTTGTCCTCAGGATCCACCCAACCCTCTCAGCCTGACATTCAAAGCCCCTGGTTAGTCCTCTCACCTTCTGTCTCTGAATGAGTCTTTCTCGCTCAGACTCACCTCACCTTCACAGCCACAGGTCCCCCGAGAGGCAGCCCTTGTGTACGCCTGTCTTCTACCTGGAAATGCCCAAACTTTCCCTGAAGTTTCCCGCCCTCCCTGCTATTCACCTGGCAGACTACTCCCCTTACTTCCAGGACTCAGTGGAGATAGCGTGTCCCTAGGAAGCTTCCTCAGCTATGCCCCTCATTCTGCTTACATTATCCCAGGGACAGGGAGCTCACCACCTCAAAGGCTCCACCTCTTGGCTCCCTCACACCCACTCTCATCTGATAAGTGGTGTGCTGTCTAATTACTAGCAGGCTTCTCAGGAAAGCCATAAACCACCCAAGGGCAGGGGCTGGATCTCAGCATCTTTTCCCCAGGTGTCTTGCACTGGTAACCACACAGAATAGGCACTCACAGGTTTGCTAAATGGATTGGTCCTCCGTCAACCCAAAAGGCCAGGCTTGGCAACAGTCTAGGTGAATGAATTCCAAGAGAATTGGTACCAACAACTTGTGGGAGGTACCAGCAGAAAATTCCCACTCTGGCAAATTGCTTCCAAAGTAACCAAATTAGAACAACTGCTCACTTGGACCTGATTTATTGATGCATATTCTCCAAGCAGCCTTGAACGAGTGCCTGGCCACAGGCTCCTAGAATGGGGCCAAGTCTCATTTATCTCCAGAGTCTCACTATCGAGTGCCCAATACAGGTTTGGGAATGAATGGTGAGTACTCTACTGGGCAAGAACATCCATCTTTATTTCTATTTCAGGATGTTTCAGGGATGAGGCCCTTGAGATATTCTGGGGAAGAGGGAGGAAGGATAGAGGAGGCTCTGGAAAAGTCAACCAGAACATAAAAGCCCAAGTCTTCACAGGGGCTCACAAGGCCAGCACCACCTGCCCACTCCTTCTGTCCTTACCTCCTTCCACTGTCCCTCGTTCCTTCTGCTCCAATCCTATTGGCCACTTGCAGTTTCCTGTAGCCCAAGCACACCTCCACTTCACAGCCTTTGTTCCCACTTTCCTTCAAGCCTCCATCCCCAACTTTGTTCGGATCCTGCTCCAGAGACACCTAGTCAGGCGGGCTTCCCTGGTATCCTGCCAAAAACAGGAGGCTGGGGGATACAGGCATACAGGCACTGCTATCACTCTGAATTGGCTTTATGGTCATTATTTTTTTATTTTTTCCATAACAATACTACCTGGGATAATATATGCTTGTTTATTTACTGACACGCCCTTGATCCCATCAGAATGCAAGCTCAAAGGGAACAGGAATTTTGCTTTGTTTTGTACAAATCCCTAACTCCGAGAAAGACCCTGCTGTATAGACATGCTCCATTCATGTTTGTGGAATGCATGGATGGCTGGATAAATGAATGCCCCATAAGAGCTAACAGTTAAGGAAGAAAACCAACGCTGTGGGCCTGGACAAACATGTGCTTGAAACCTAACTGTCTCGCTGAGGGGCCAGGAAACCCGCCCCTGAATCAGCTGATCCCAGCTGTTAAGTACATTCATCTGGATCTTGGAAGTACGCTGGTCTGAAGCGGAAAAGCTGCTGGTGGTGAGTTAGTTCTCAGCTACTATCTGATGGGACAAAGGATGTACTCAAGAGGCTGGGAGGGTGGTAACAGAGCAAACCTTCAAATGGTTGAACTGCAGAGGGTGGTCTGTGAAAGCCAGAAGAGGGAAGGTTGCTACTGAAGAGGAATGCTGAAATCGAGAGCTGTTTACAGTTCTTCTCTTCTTTACTTGTGTGTGTAGACTAACCTGTCCCTGGGGTTTTGGCCACAGGTTCAAAGGGAGCCCAATGGGGGCTCAAAGCTGTATTGAAATACCTCTGAATAAGGTTGATCAGGGAAAGAAGCTGACATTTTTTTGAGGTTTACCATCAGCAAGAACCCACGCCAATGCATTATTGTCTCCTTGGAGCCTAAGCACAAGCCTTCAACACAGCAGGGACTGTCCCCATCTTACAGTGGGGAAACTGAAGCTCAGGAATTTACATGATCTAAGCAAAAATCACTCAAGCAAAAATAGCAGAACTGAGATGTGAAATTAAGTCTGTCTAATTTCAAAAGCTCTTCTCCTTCCTCTGAATTATGCTACAACTCAGGGACCCCTGGGGGGAAAGAAACCATAAGAGGAAGAAAGGCAAGGAGCACAAGACAAATAAGTTCCCCTAAGAATGAGAATCTGATATAAGGAACAAGTCTGGGACAAAATAACCCCAGGACCTCAGAACTGGAAAACACCTGAGAAATCACCTGGTCTTATCTTCTGTACTGTCAAGCTTTATGAAATGCTCCTGATTTTGCTTTTCAGGGAAAAATCAAAATGTGTAAATGAAAAAGAAGAGCTTTAGGAGAAGACAGCAGAAAGTAACAGCAGCAGCCAGTGAAAGAGTAACAGTGGGCGTGTGGTCATCATGGCGCACTGCCACCTCCTTCGCGACTGCTGACCTTGGATGTGTGGGTGTCCTGGGCCAGCTTAAAGGAGATGCACTAATACCCCAAAGTCCCTGCAGACAAAATCAGCAGATCTTAAGTCACCCGGGAAGAATATCAGCTTGTGTCAGATCCATGTTCAAAGAAGTTCAAGTAGGTGTGACCCTGTCCACTTCCAGGTAAGAAGAAAAGTATCCAAAACTGACTGGGAGGCAGTGGGGGAGAAAAAAACCAAGGTGCTGGTGATGAGGGAAGAGGCAAGGGGAACAGTACTCTGTAGTGGTGCACCGCGGTGCCAAATTTACCTCGAAATTCAGCTGATTTTACCTCTCAAAATGTTATTCCAAGTGAGACACCAGCCAGGCCTCTGGCATGAGACTTAAATTCCTGCCAGGTCGGCTACTTCTCTCCTTGCTGGTCTCAATCCAGATGGCCAGGATGGGCAGAAAGAAACCCTCAGATAGATTCTGTAGGGACAGAGCAACCTACAACGACAGCTCTGAGCTGTTCCCCCTCCACCTTTCAAGCTCCTCTGTTTCTTGCCTAAACACTCAGAAGACTCATGTAGCAAATGCTTCCACTCAAAATGCAGTTACAGAACCTGGGGACAGTTCACCACTTCAGAATGACAGCTACTTTGAAATACACATCAGTTCTTCATTATATCCTTGCTTTTTCTTTTTTCTCCTTGTACACGTATGTGGTGTAAGGAAGCATGACTTCCAATCAGGAATGAGAAATCTGGCGGAAGGACCATATTTGAGACTTCCAGGTATTCCGGGAGCCCGAATATCACAGATTCTCTGCACTAAAAATGCTGGTCATCACCATGCTTTCGGCTAAAAGCAAAGACAGTTGTTTCTTACCTGGAGATCTCTCCCGAGACTCGGAGTCACCAATCCAGGCTGATGGAATGAACCAGATGAGCAGCTGTTCCGCCAAGACAAGTCTGGCTCCCCAGATCAGGGCTGTGGCCCCTGAGAGTCCTGTGGTTTCTCTGTCCCTGGTGAGTGATAATCTGCAGAAAGGGAACACAAGTCATGTTACTAGGAGAGGCCATTTCCTCTTCTACTCTGGCCATAACACATTCGTTTACGCAGAGCAGAGAGAGCCCCAGAATCACCGATTACCAGGGACGGAAGAAATGCAACAACCTTGTCACATGTAGTTCGGAAAACTGAGGCTCAGAGAAAAAAAGAGCCTCACTCAAGGGTACTGCCACTTGGAGGGAGACTCCAGATCAGAACATGTCTCTGACTCTTTGGCTGCCGGAATTTTAAAACAAATTTTTAAAAAGCAGCCACATGACCCATCCGATTTCTCAAACAAGTGGTCATTGACCCTGAATGGAAATCTCTGTTTTTCTTTTTCTTTTTTAAAACAGATTTTCCAACAGAGAGGTGGCACTTTTTCCAGAATGCTGTTTTTGTAGTTTTCTGTAGTATTACCCCCTGGGAGCTGAATGAGTAAAACAGTCCACCTCAGTCATGTGGTTGGGATGGTGGCTGTGGCATTAGAAAAATACTGTTATGGAAGAGAGGGACCCATGAGCACAGCAGTGGGTGGACTTGGTTTTTTAATGAGAGTCGTCTGTATACCAGCCCCTAGGTCTGCTGATCTGTCTCTCTCTTTTTGTCTATCTGTCACTACATGTTTTAGGAAAACACAGAAATACACATGGACTCTCCTCCCATGAGTATCATCCATTATGTGATTTCCCTTTTTTTTTTAATTAAACTGTAATTGATTTACAATATTCTGTTAGTTTCTGGTATACAGCAGTTATTCAGTTATGGTGGTGGTTTAGTCACTCAGTTGTGTTCAACTCTTGTGACCCCATGGACTGTAGCCTGCCAGGTTCCTCTGTCCATGGGATTTCCCAGACAAGAATACTGGAATGGGTGCCATTTCCTCCTCTAGGGGATTTTCCTGACTCAAGGATCAAACCCACATCTCCTGCACTGCAGGCAGATTCTTTACCAACTGAGCTACAAGAGAAGCCGATTCAGTTATACATATATACATATATGTGGGTATATCCATCATGGTTTATTACTGGATGTTGAACATAAATCCCCGTGCTACACAGTTCAGTTCAGTTCAGTTCAGTTCAGTCACTCAGTCGTGTCTGACTCTTTGTGACCCCAAGGGCTGCAGCACATCAGGCCTCCCGGTCCATTACCAACTCCCAGAGCTTGCTCAAACTCATGTCCATCAAGTCGGTGATGCCATTCAACAATCTAATCCTCTGTCATCCCCTTCTCCTGCTGTCAATCTTTTCCAGCATCAGGGTTTTTTCCAATGAGTCAGCTCTTCGCATCAGGTGGCCAAAGCGTTGGAGTTTCAGCTTCAACATCAGTCCTTCCAATGAATATTCAGGACTGACTTCCTTTAGGATTGACTGGTTGGATCTCCTTGCAGTCCAAGGGACTCTCAAGAGTCTTCTCCAACACCACAGTTCAAAAGCCTCAATTCTTCAGTGCTCGGCTTTTTTATAGTTCAACTCTCACATCCATACAGGACTACCGGAAAAACCATAGCTTTGACTAGATGGGCCTTTGTCAACAAAGTAATGTCTTTGCTACAGAGTAGGACCTTGTTGTTTTATTATGTGATTTTTCTGAACACTGTACATTTGAACAGCCACTTCTCTGTGCAAACCATCAAAACCAAAGAAGGGATCCCACATATATGAAGCAAAGCATTCACATCATGTGAATCTTATATAGTTTCCTAATTTATCCTCAAAAATGTCCCCTAAAGGTACCATGAGCTCCATTTTCCTAAAAGGTTAGACCTAGAGCCGAGTTGGAGAGAACCAGAATGCGCTGCAGAGTCATAAAGAAAAATCGGTGCAGAATTAGGCATGGACTCATCTCTGACTCTGAAATCCGTGTTTTGTTCATCTTAACTGGACTGCAGTTATTAGGCCAAAAAACACTAGGAGCTGTCTTATTTTCCAGTGTGTTAGTTTGAAGGCAGGCGAAAGTTCTCTGGCAGCTGTTCATGCTGTCAGGACATGAGGGTTATTCTCTTAGATTCTCGTTCAGACAGGAGGCTCGAAGGGCCCTGGCTTCCTGTGTGTTGCCAACCAGGGCTCACGTGCTCCAGCCAGAGGGCCCATCAGGAAATCATGATTATCAACGGCCGGCCTCTGTTCCTGGTCTTGGACAAGGGACAGGCTGGAGAGATGGTGGGGGGTGGAGAAAGGGGAAGAAAAAACAGGAAGTGGCAGGGGAAGGGAAGGAAATGATAGAGAAAACACAGCAACTCCTGCCTGATGAGAAAGGGATTTCTGAGCCCTGCATTTTGGGAAACCAGGTCACGGTGGTAGCGGGGTGGGGAGTGGGGGGATCAGGGATGGGCCAGGGCGAGAAGTTAGTTTCCTCCACGTTTGGGGTCGTGCCCGTGAATTCCCAGCAGAGCACAGGCCAAGGAGAAGGGTGCCCGCCACAGGTGCTGTGTCCCAGGGCACCTGACTGTAGACCTGGAGAAGGTGGCTTTCTAAAGAAGAATCCGGGGGAGACCACCTCTCTCACCTCTTGGTTGTTGCTGAGGCCAGATGTGTCACAAAAGGACCTGGAAACTTTCGAGGCAATCAGTATCAGGGGGTTTTGATCCCGTCTCCACTCCCATCCTGATCAAATATTCTCAAAATTAGAACCATTTTCACATGTTTGGTTAGGACTTGATCTCCCCCAGTGGGGTCCAGCAAGAATCACACTTTCTTCTATCACAATACTATGAGAGTCAAGGCCAGCAGAATGCTGGGTCTCCAGACCATGACTCTAAGTACTTCCAGAATCTTTTCCTATCATTTTGTTCACTTTACTTAATTACAGACACAACAAAAGTCCCCCAACTCCCAGTGGGCACCATTGAGGCTGGCAGTCACCTGGTAAGCTGCAACCACACAAATAGAAAGCTAGACTAATAACCTAATCACTCTGTAATATCAATACTAATAATACTTTACAGGATCCGAATGGGTACTAGAGGGTAGGCAGGGAACACAGAGCCCCCCCAACAGGCAAGTCCTCGATACCAGTCCTACCCACTCCAGTGGTTCCCCAAACTCGTTGTGCATCTAGAGAAGCTAAAAAAAAAAAAAAGTACAGCCCAACCTGGAGTAGGGGCCAAGCTTCTGGAGAGATCTATGTCATCACTGGCTCTGGCCCACGGACTAGCATTTAGACAGCTTGGATCCTCACCCAGCCCTCACAGGGTCCCACCTCCTTCCATCTTGTCCATTCAATGATAGAGACCCTCCCAAGGAGAAGCCTGCTCCAGGGTTCTGACCTTGATTCTGTAAACTACTCCTCCACCATCCAAATAAACACAGAGCAATGAAAAGCAAGCGTATCTTTGAGAGGAATCCAAGCTCTTTGAAGGGATGGCTGGCGGTTTCCTGTTTGAGTCACCCACAGGCCAGAGGTCCGTCAGGGAGCACGCCGTCAAGTGAAGAAAGACACTGACAACTTCCGCCTCTGGTCCCCACCAGCAGCCCAACCTCGCACAGCATCAGCACGGGTCTGCTCCTGTTGCCATGGTTACGAGTGACCGGAGCCCCGGGGAGGAAACCGGCACCACCCGAGACCATCAGTAGGCGGCGCTGTGGCAGCACCTGAGTGCTAGTGCTCAGCGCTGTCTGACTCTGCGACCCCATGACCTGTGGCCCACCAGGCGCCTCTGTCCTGGGATTCTCCAGGCAAGAGTACTGGAGTGGGTTGCCACGTCCTCCTCCAGGGGATCTTCCTGACCCAGGGATCAAACCCGTGTCTCCTGCATTGCAGGCAGCTTCTTTAGCACCCGAGCCGCCAAGGAAGCCTCTCTTGTCAATATCTTGTCCATTTTGGTCATTTTAACAGCTTTAAGACCAGAGACATATTAATATATCTTTTGTTACCCGAACGTTATTGACAGGAGTGTTCCAATACTCACTTACATTACAAATCGCTGGTCACAGGCATCAGTTTCTGCAAAAAACTCCCAGATCAATAACGTGTTAAGAGAGGGACAAAGCATGGTGTTATTAGCCTTTGTTAAAAATGGGGAAGCTGAAACCCAGAGACATAAAATGACTTCTCCAGGTTCACATGACAGAACCGAAACTAGAACGGGCAGCTCCTCACCTTCTCCAGTCTCGTGATCGGGGACCTTTTCACTACCTCCTGTCCACCCCCCCAACCCTGCCTCCCCCATTCAGGGGAGCGGCTGAGAAATAGCTTAGGATGGCTGTGTATCTTCCATTTTTGAATGGTTCTGAAAGTGGAATAGCTGGACAGAGAGAAGGTAATACCTACAGACAGTGAGGGAACTGGAGAGCCTGGAAGACCACCTGCCTGCCCTCCAAGCTGAGCGAACTCAGAATCCAGAGCAGGGCAGAAGCCTACTTGTTCCAGCCACAAGTTAACCAGCGGCGGGGCCTACACCCTGAGTCAGGGAAGCTCAGCACACTCTCTCCCCCAGCAGCAGGAGCCCCGGTCAATGTGAAGAATGACAAACGGGTAAGTGCGTGGATAATAAATATGACTCCTGCTCATCAGGCTCCTGCAGTGCAACAGGCATCACTGAACACTGGAGACCTGGTGACTCCATGACCCACTGGCCAGATAGGTGTTCTTCCAGCTGCTTTTACAGATGAGGAAGCTGAGGCCTTGTCCAAGGGACTTGGCTTCTGAGAGGTAGAGACAAGGTCTGAATTCCTGCAGTCTGGCTCCATTCCTGCTCTTAACTACTATGCTGTTAATATTCCATCTCCCCAGGTGGCGCTGGTGGTAAAGAACCTGTCTGCCAATACAGGAGACTTAAGAGATGTGGGTTCGACCCCTGAGTCAGGAAGATCCCCTGGAGAAGGGCATGGCAGCCCACTCCAGTATTCTTGCCTGGAGAATCCCATGGACAGAGGAGCCTGGCGGGGGCTACAGTCCATAGGGTCTCAAAGAGTCAGACTTGAATGAAGTGACTTAGCACACACATACTCCATCTCAAAGCAGTTACATTAAAAAAACAGAAAAGAAAAAGGAAAGAAAGGGAAAGGCACACAGGACAGTCAATTAGTGTTAAGAAACAGGGAACAAAGGAGGCACACTAGAAGCAGACACTACCTTCATGCCAAAGGCGGAGGAAAGGAGGAAACTCTCCAGGGCGGGAAATAGTGATTGAAAGGTGCTGAGCAGGCCGGATCAGGATTCTGGTCCCCAGCCCTGCCTGGGTGGCAGCCCCAACCCCACCCCCTCGGTGTCAGCCAGCACCAGTAAAAGACTTCCTGGCTTCAGTATTGACACAGCACCACTCGTGGGAAGAGGAAGTGGGGTGGGCTGCGGAGGGCTGGAGGGAGGACCCAAGATGGGAGAGTCATCGGGGGGTGGAAGGGACGGTGTTCTTGAGAACTCAGTGCCCATGTCACAGAGGGAGGGACCCACTGCGCAGCCGGTGAGCAAGACTCTGCCAAAAGCCCCCACCCAGAGCAGTGAGGGCATACACTGCCAGGGAGCCTGGGTTCTAAGGGTGCTGGGTGATTCAGACTCAGGAAGATCTGGGGAGCAGGGCAGGACAGAGAACATCCCTCATCATTTCACAGACGGGGAGACTAGAGCAAAAATAACAACAGTCATGACATCATCATCATCATCATGGCAGCCACCATTTATTGACACCTGTCATTTATCAGAAATGAACTAGATGCTTTATATAGGTTACACGGTGATAACATCAACTCTAAGAAGGCCGTATGATTATTCTTAATTTATAGTTGAGATAAGCTAAATCATATCCTAAAGGTCAAGTAGCTAGTTGGTTAGGAGCAAGGATCTGAACTGATGTCTGACATTTTGGTCCACAGTCTGACCTCTAAGCTACATGTGTCATGAAATGGTGACAGGCCCTGCTCATGACTGATGGTGCTAACCCACAACCAACTTTTGAACTCTTAAAGCACAAAAGTACAGGTCTTTAAACTTAGACATATTATCCACACTTTATCCATACTATGTGTCCACCTATGTGGTTACATACAATTAAGGTAATCAAGTGACTCATGATCCAAACTTGGGTTCTTGCCAGAGTGAAAGAGGCCTATTTATATGCTGCTGGGGAACTTCCCTGGTGGTTCAGCAGTTAAGACCCCACTCTTCTAATGCAGGGGGCGTGAGTTTGATAGCTGGTCAAGGAACTAAGATCCCATGTGCTGCATGGTGCAGCCAAAAAGATAAATAAAAAATAAACTGAGGGACTGCAACAGAAATCAATGAATCAGAAAACAGGGAAAAAAAATAATAATAATGCCGCTGGGACAACAGGTATTAACCAGTCCTGTCCCAGGCACACAAAGACGTTTTGTCACCCTGCTATAACCACAGTCCCAGGGGTGGGTTCTTTTAAGCCTCACTGATTCAGTGGAGAATGCTTCTACATGATCTCCTGCTTTCTAATTTACCCAAACACTCCTGTGCAACAATCCACTCTCCCTTTGCTCACTAGAAACTCTTCTACATCCGTTGGCCTCGTGGGCCTTAAGTATAAAACAGGCAAGCTGATGATAAAGCGGATACCCTATGATTTGGGAAGCAAGGGTGTGACTTGTTCAGCAATAGATTTTGAAAGCACTGCTGGGCGCCTGGTACCCTCACCCCAAGAACCTCAATGGGCAGGTGTTCTGATAACCAGCCAGTCCCCCAGACCAGAGGGCTCGGCGTCTCCCTCACCTCTGGTGGCCCAAGGCAACGGGACAGGACACTGCAAACAGAAGCTGCCTCATCCTGCTGGAGAAACCACCACCCACCGACAGGACCCAAGACCCTGCTTCCTTGGAAGGCGGCGCCTGGCTGGGACAGGCGTCCTGTCTCCATTGCCAGCAGGCACCAATCCCCCAACTCCTGGAGAGTATGGGGTTGTACCCACCTGTCCAGGGATCTCTCCTCTGACTCTACAAGTCTGGGGAGGAGGGAGGCTGCACTTAAAGCTTGTTTTTGTTTCTTAAGCTTTTTGTTTCTTTTCTGCCTTCTTAAGAATCTCTGATCAAGAGGAAAAAAGAATCTGCTGTTCTTTTGAAACCAGGAAATCAGTCTTAAATCAATCTCACACATCAATACAAGTGAAATGCTAACAAGACAGCAACAGGCACTATTAGTCCATTCTCTGAAGAGCTGTTTCCTGCAGTTATTTAATCAGGGGCATCCCAGGACCTCTGGTCCAGCGATTCTCTTACAGCTCAGGAAAGGTCAGTGGTGCTGGGGAGCCCAGAGACCCCTGGAGGGACTGGTGAAGACACAGGCCGCAGGGCCCTGCAATAATACATAGAGCCAGCCTCTTGTTTTGCATAGAAGTGTCTGCCAGTGATGATTTTTGATTAAGAGGAAGACCTCTTTTTTTCCCCAAATTAGGTCACATTCATACGCCATTGGGGTTTTAGGGCATGGACTTATCTTTTGGGGACCACTTATCTTATTCAACCCTCTGAGGTTCCCTGGTGGCCGGGGTTCCCTGCCTGCCAAAGCAGGAGACACTGAGATGTGGGTTCAATCCCTGGGTTGGGAAGATACCCTGGAGTAGGAAATGGCAACCCACTCCATTATTCTTGGCTATAAAATCTGATGAACAGAGGAGCCTGGCAGGCCACGGTCCATGGGGTCGCACAGAGTTGGATATGACAGAGAGACTAAACCACAATTCAACCCACTACTGCTATCAAGTTATTGCTATTACTATTATTAATATTATTGACCATGCCATTTAGGGGGTGCCTGAAATCTTGGGGAGGGAAGGGACTTGGTTAACGGAACCCAGCAAGTAGGCAGCAAAACCAGGACCAGCACACAGTTCTCCTGACTGACTCCTACTTCTTCCATCTCAGCATGTGACCCCTCGAGCTAGGGACGAAGGCCAAGGAGCCCAGACTGGGGCAGGAAACAGCCCATAGACAGACAGCGACAGAGCCTGGGCTCAGGCCATCCCAGACCGTCAGAGAGCAGCGGGGGTCAAGGGTGACACAACCATCACTCTTCTTCACTCGGTGCTGGACATCGGGTGCACATCCCATGACTGCCTCATGTGTGACAGTCACGAGGTTCGTTCCATCAGGTCATCCCCTGGGGTCAGAGAGTGGCAGACACCTTAGAGATCCAGCAAGATCAGCCTCCTCGCCCTGACAAGCCTGAGCACCAGCGCAGTCAAATCGCAGATCGCTGGGGCTCCTTCATGTTCCCGCCTCCCTTCCCAAGGCTACAACTCCAGGAACGTCTCCTTTCTGGAAGGACGAGGGCACAACTTAACAGGCTTGCACGCCTGGCCATCAGTGGTGGTGCAAGCCTGGACACCTTGAATGCTTCGTGGTGGAGCCAGGAAACCTCGGTGTACCCTGACCTTGGTCTTGCTTGGGCTGCATGACCTTTGGTCCCTCACTACCTCTCTCTGATCTTCAGATGCAAAGTCTGCTCAGTGCAGACTTACAGCCACATACACGAGCAAGCCTCTCTGGGCTACTCTGAAGATCAAATGAGCCTCGAAAGCACCAC